GCAATCTACAGCAAGCAGAGCATATTACATTATTACTGAAACATAGAAACTAACTTGATCCATCTAGATGCTAATTACGTTTATTCTGATTTTCTTCTGAGCCTATGACATCACTTCCAATTGTCCCTCCTGTTATTTCTGAATGCGCAGCACCCAACGGAATACACAATAATGAGCAAGATGAGGAATATTATGTATAATCTTAGCCGTCTTCTTCCACTTAGTCTTGATGTCTTGCACCATCCCAGCCTTGCATGCATTACAGTCGTAGCACAGCACCTGGGATCATTGTTCCAAGCACGACAATCAGGATTGGCATAATTTGAATTGGCCGTACTGTTCCACACCGTTGGGCTCTGGATACAAAGTTACAGTCGTTTGATGGCTTACAACACCCAGACTGCACACAAAGAACCAAACATGTCACATCAGAAAGCGTCCATAGTTTGCAGAAAGATATGTCAAGTTCATCTTCCAGGCTTTGCCCTGAGATCCAAATACATATCAAATCTAGCACCAGTTAATAAACTAGTTCACAATCAGAACTAAGTGCTAGTTTCATTCTATGTTCAAGTTTCTGAGCCAAGAGACCATTTGAAGTTCGGTCAAACCATTTGAACATTACATTCCACCAGAACAATAAGAACTTTACCTCGTACCAAGTAAATTATGCATAAATAGATACCTATTAGATAAGCAACTACGATAAGCTACACTCAGCTTATTTGATCTTCTGTGTTTTTTCATTTGCAGTTTCAAATAGCTTATGCCAACAAGAACTAGACGCACCAGCATCCATGTACTTAGTGGCTATAACTAAGGAATAGCAGCTCAAAACAGCAATTTTTAGAAACTGAAGGCAACATCCAAACTTTATGGGTGATCTCTTTCGTTGTACAATGCATCACATTTTTAAAAATTCACAAGAATTAAATCTTCTTGGCTTGGAACGCACTTTTAAAATCCAAACAAAACAAAATGCATCGGAGATTACGTGATAAAGTAAAAGCATGGTGTTTGTTTCACTTTTCAGACTAAAAAAAAAAAAAGGCACCAATTTAAAAAGACCATCTCCTTTCGAAAAATGGACCTTGAATACCTAGAAAAAGACGGAAAGTATAAAATACAGAGTACTATTACGAATATGCGGCTTTTCCAGAAATTTCTAGAATTTCAAACTTACCGTCTCGGGCTGAGCTGTGAGCATACTCAAAAGTTAAAGGAATTGTGAAGAAAAAAAGGCCCTTCCTCCCCGCGGGGTAGCGGAAGGTGGCACTGTTGCCTGGAGTTTTTATCCTCTCATGGTAGTCTATCGAGAAAATCGAACTACCACACGAAATGAAAAGAGAAAGACAAAATCAAAAAAATTGAAGAACAAAAAACCCCAGTCGTATTCATACTAGAGTTCAGACTAACAAAGATATTCAATTCAAATAGCTAAAGAACCATGTGCAGAGCGCGCTCCGACCATGACTTGAAATGTAAAGAACGCTAATACAGTAAGTGAATTCCGAATTGGATCCACACAGAACACACGCAATTACCCACGTTGAGGCCAAAAATCTAACATAAACACGTGACAACAGATAAAAAACCCAGAGAAACAGTTGATATTGAAGGACGAAATTAATTCCCAAAATACCTGAAGCGGAGTTAGTTTCTCTTTATTGAACTCGTTAACATCGTCTTTGGCATACAGCTTTTGGTAGACGGAGCAGTATTGCCCACCTGAAGACAGCTCTTCATCGTCTTCCAATTATTTGAGTCGTTCACCCTCTTCTGCAACCAGTGAGAGTAATCACCGAGCCTATACTCCTTATACCCTTTACCCGATAAAACTTTCCCAGCGCCTTTGTTGGTAACAACGAAAGCGAAGACTGTGAAAGCTAAGACGACAAGGATAAGCAAGAACATGCGACAAGGTAAATCCAGAGGAGCAAAGGAGATGCGGCAGCAAGCGCCGGCCAGTCCCGCCAGCGACACCAAGAGAAGGAACACACCCAACACAATGAAAAACCTTGTCGAGCCATTTTTCACACTCGGTAGCGCCGTGCTTGCTGAGCCAAATACCGACCCAGAGAATGGGAATAGAGAAGAGGAAGGTGAAGAAGTTGAGGATCCCTATCAGAGTTTGCTCAAGTGACACATGATGAGAGGATTTCCAGAGAGAGAATTAAGATGCAAATGAGCATTTACAGAACAGCGAGGGGGAGAGAGAGTGTTTAAGAAGTTGATGAAAATGAGCACAAAAAGGAAGACGGGGAAAGGAAGGAGAAGGAAGAGATTCGAAGGCCACGCGCCTCACAGAGCAGGCATGAAATGAGAGAGAAATTTGAGAGAGAGAGAGAGAGAGAGAGAGAGAGAGGCGGGGGACGAGGAGGAATACAAATCCCGCGCCTTTTGAACAATTTACATATGGGGACGAGCTTTGCTGCTCTATAATTATACGTTGTGGCTTGAAGTTGGGATGACTAGGGATATTTATGGACAAAAATTCGTGTAACTTTAATTTAGCGATAGGCATCATAATTATATACTCCCTCCGGTCCTAATTATAAGACCCAATTGACTGATTTGAGGAGATTAAAGAAGTAAGTTAAGTTGGTATTTATAATAATAAGTGTTGTTATTTCTAAAATATCCTTGCTAATTAAGTATATTGGCTAAAACTATCATTATTAGAAGGATTCTTGAAAAAAATGCATAAATATAAGAGAGAAAATGGATTGGGTCTTATAATTAGGACCAAATAAAAAGTCAAATTGGGTCTTATAATAAGGACCGGAGGAGTATATGTGCATATGTATATGTTTATTGATATTGACGTTGGTATTGTTTTCAGATATGTTAGGGGGCGGGGAGGGATACCTTTTTTAACTGTTTGGAGTTTTTCAAAAAGAATATTATACTATATAAGTGATTCATTAATAAAGGGTCAAGGTGCGTCCAGCACTCCGAGATATTTTCCTAAATACAACACCAGTGTCCTAAAGTTATTTATGGTGCAATTTTTACCCCTGAAGTATTTAAAATGGTGCACCCATATCCAATCCTAACAGATCCGTTTTGTTTGACCGTGAACTGATGACTTAGCTTTAGTTTGACATGTTACATAAGCAGCTGATGTGGCTATTTGGGATTTTTTTTTTTTTTGTGGTTCAAAAGCGTGTTTTATCTGAACCTGTGCTTTCACTTACCTGGTTACTATACTGCTCCATGGAATGATCCCAACAACTCCAGAGAAATATGGATATCGAAAATTGAGGAAATTACATCGCCCTGTACTACTTCCAGCACCATTAGTAAATGATTTCAATCCTACAACTTACACCAAAGCAATTCAGTAAAAAAAAAAAAATTAAAAGCTGCGCAATTTACTGGTGCGGGTGATGAAGATGCCTTTCAAATTCAATTATACACTGTCAGAATCAAATCAAAAGAAACTATGATAGAGAACCAGTCAGGAATGGGGAAGGGCATGGAAACAGTGGAACAGGGAAGGAGAAAAAATCTGTTGTATCCCAAAAAGATCGAAAAAAGAAGGTATGAAATCTCAATGAATGACTCAACTGAAGGAAGGCAAAATAGGGCTATGGCCCCCACCTCACTTTTAAAGATACCTTGGAGCTTCTGAAGCCATTGTCACCAAGGTCAATAATCCGGCATAAGCCGACAGATTTTTCCTTCTTCAAGTGCCATCTTCTCTTCCGTAAATTTTAACCATATACAAGCTCCGGTGAAACTCAGCACCAGATTTGCGAGACCGCTTCCTAACCCAATCCCCACAACAGCTAAAACGGACAATCCTTTATTCCTAAGTGGCAATAAAAGGCATTAGTAGTGTTCCTTATTTCCTGAGAAAGACGTGGCTTTAAATCTTGGCAAGTTGCCGCTGCCGTTGGCTAACGACGCCGGAGTTGGACCGGAGAGACGATTGTTGGAGCCGTCGAAAGCTGTGAACCGAACAAGGCGGCTCATCAACGAAAACCTATTCAGATAAAACATAACAAAATAAAAAAAAAATCTAAATATCCACATCAGCTGATTGTCACGCATGCCAGCTAGGATTATTTTGGTCAAACCAAAATTGAGTCATTAGTTCACGGTCAAACAAACGATATGTTAAGATTGGATATGGGTGTACCATTTTAAATACTTCAAGGGTAAAATGCACCATAAATAACTTTAGGATACTGGGTGTATTTGGAAAAATTTTCGGGGGTACTGGGCGCACCTTAACCCTTAAATAAATACTCCTTTGAAACAAATGCTAAACTGAGTTCGGAGAGCTCACAGTAATTAACTAATGATTCCAATATCTCTTCTCTGGGAGAAATTTTCCTATGGGCGATTAATGACCAGAAGTCGATGCGGGGTTTATTTGGGAAAAAGACTTTTTTTTTATGTGCTTTATTTTATACCGTGCAAAATTGGTTATAATAAGCTAAACCAAGCACCAATGATATTCATGGTGGAGGAATTTATTTATAATAAAGTAGTACCCGACATATTTTTTAGATACATACAATGCTTTTATCTTAGAAAAATTGAGATATAATCCCTCGTTAAAAATTTAATCGGTAAATGAGATTTAGAATGATTGATTACATAAGAGAAGATTAATTGCATACAAAGGAAATTAAATGGCACAAAGGAAAGATTGTTTGTATAGAACATTATTTGGATATAAGAAATTAGTTTATACACAACAAGATGACTTGCACATAAGAAAATTTTATTTACAAAAAGAAATAGAGTTGTACATCGCTCAAAGAAATATTATTACACATAAGAGAAGATAAATTACATATAAAAAAAATTAAGTTGAACACAATAGAAGTTAATTTGCATAAAGTCCTTAAGTCTCATTTGTCAATTTCCCAATTTTTCGTTAATACATTGATATTATTTTTTTATACTTTTAGTACTTAAATCATATTAATAATACATCTAACACCTTAAATCATAAATAAATTAGAATGTGGGATATAACTAATAAAAACAACAATAACATGGTAAGTGTTTGGAGTGTGCAAAAAAAAATTAGAATTAAATTTATTAGTTATAATGTATACTACATTTATTAAATGGTGGGAGAAAATCAATTATTTCGTCAATTTGCTATCTTCCTAATGTTGTCAGGGATAATTGGCCATTTCCCTGCAAAACTTGTTTCCCGATATCCTTTAGTCGTGAGTAGAAGTTTCATACGCCTCTAATTAAAAAAAAAAAAAAAAACAGAGAGAGAGTGGGGGGGGGGGGGATAGCGGGACAAACACAAAAGTCTGGTCCCACCGACAATGACGATGAGAAAGGCACTCTGCTTTATGGATGATAATTGAAAAGGCATGGCTCCAGCAACCTAGCATTAGGATAATTCCAACTAACACTGCTAAAAAAAAAAAAACTTTTTTATACCATTTAACCTGCACTGTTCACTACGCAACAATAGAAAAATTTTTGACTGGTGATATTTCTATAAATATTGATAAATTTTTTAAACCAGTTTTTACATACAACTAGTGTAAAATATACTTTTTACACCGGATGGTTGTGCAACCAGTATAAAAGTATTAAAATATGTATTTAAAAATAATATTTGCAAATTTTAAACCGTTACAATCAGTTTAAAATATTTTTTACACCATATATTTATTACAACTAGCATAAAAGTTTTTTAAATATTTTTTTCAGAAAATAATATTTATAAGTTTTCAGAAGGTGATTTAGAATCTAAAGATTTAATCTACTTTTTTTTACGACTACTTTTTATGAGTCAAACTTGTAAATTTTCATCTAAAACCGATGATTTGCTTACTGGAAGGTCAATTAAAACTCTATTATGGTAGAAATGAAAACAATTACATAAAACTACTATAGTGGAAAGGTTTCATCACTCATCTTTTGAAAGCATTCTTGAATAAAAGATTTCGATTAATTAGAACAGGCAAAACCACCTGTGAAATGAATCAACCCTACAACCATGGTTATAGGAAAACAGCCCCTGATTAACACAGTTGTCAAATATCAACACTTTGAACTAGGCCTCTAAGCTTCAAACCCCCATATAAAAAACAATATTGAGCCCATTACTGAAATAATACGTAACATGTACTAGAAATAATCACAATTCATCTACAAAAGTCACATGCAGAATCCTCTGGCCTACTACCAGTACTTAAACATAATTCAATAAACCATTACAGGTTAAATAAATAAATATTTAATCGATAGAGAATATACAAAAGATAGGAGGCCTATATGGCAATATGCAATTTCTTCAACACATACAAAAAGAAGCAGAAGCAATACAAGAACTGTAAAGCTTAGGCCTTTGGATTCTTCCCTGACGATGCACCTCTAGAACTTTCACCTGAAAACAGTTTAAATCATGAAGTGAGATAAAAGCCTCAATAACGAACAGTCTAGCTCATCATATATACTAACATATCCTTGTGAGGTGTCAAATGAAACAGATATAAAAACATGTTTAGATATATATATATATATATATATATCTCAACACAATAATCTAAATTCTCATAACAATCCATCAATATTATCATGTAAATGTAATCCCAATAACCACATTCCCTCACTATGTGGGAAGTATGAGCTAAAATGGCTAATCTCTCATTTTGGGAGATAAAACCTAAATCAATCCCTCACTATGGGGAATACAAGAAAAGGGGACATTCTCTTCTTATGGGGGAAGCACTGCAAGCTAATCGTCATGTATTGATGGAGACACTTAGCACATGACAATAATAGATACAGTTCACTCACCATTCTCATCATATACATCATGCTCAAGAAATCCAACAAGTGTCAATTTTCAATTCTATAATCAATTTCCAAATCAAAATTTAAAGTAATAACACATTATTGCAAATCCAAGGATTACATTTTCAAAAGTCAATCCCACAAAATATGTCATTTCCAATATATCAATATAGCCCCAAGTATATGCCAAAATAACATTTATAATTTGAAAACAATAAAACTACTTACAAACAACATACTAACATATATAATGAATGAAAAGTAGTTATCTTTCGCCTTAGATAGGATCAATTACCATAGCAAGCTGTCCTGTGCACAATACATCAATTACAAACAATCTACACAATCACACACATTTACCACATATTAGTTAACAAACTAATTAAGTGATTAACAATGACAATTGGGGATTTAAATCCCTTGGCTTATGCCAATCCTCAATTCAACTTCAAATTGACCATCCCAAAACTCAAAACACTATTCCAATGGGTGAAACAACTCAATAGAATCCTCAATTGACTTCTAATTACACCAATTAATCAAAAGTCTCACACAATCTAGGGTTCATAATAAAAAATACTTAAATATGAAAATCAACTTAAATCAATATTCTAAACCGATTAAACATTTATTGTACTCATATTAACATAACCCAATTATCAAAACTCATTTCCAAACTCCACATTATTATCTATTATCATATATCTCCAAGAATCATAAACCCTAGCCTCCAAATCCTCAAAACTCCTAATCCAAAAAAACTAATTACCGTGGCTATTTCTACCAATTGCCGTAGCACTTCGCACAATAAGGAAAAATCACTTGGTCTGGCCAAATAGCTGTGGGTTTTTTCACAAATTGCCGCCGCAACTCACACCAAAGTGCTGTTTCTCCTCTTTTTTTTCAACCTTCAATTTAAACCTATCCTGTCCAAACTCCAATAAACCTTAAAGGTCAACAATTAACCAACTTAATTATCCAAAACTAAGCCTATATACCCCTAAACCTTAGGATTAAAACCTAGGATGTTACAAACTTCATTATCTCATAATCTTTCTAAGTTACCTCGCAACCTCTTTTTCATGCTTCATTCACCAGTAAGCTCAATGCTAGTCCTCTTCTTCATGATCTTCTCATTTGTGTTGTGACTTCTTCTTCATGCTCCTCTCCTTTTATAGCCCACTATCTTCTCTGTACTTGTCATATTCTTAAGATTCATTGACTTGTCCATGATTATCAAGTAGAGATCCATGCTCACACCATCTAGATCTATGCTCATTGGGTCAAGATTTGTGCTCATCACATCCAGATCCATGCTATCTCAAGCTCTCATTGTGTTGTCATCCAGATACTCACATTTACCTAGATCTGTACTCATCTTCTTTTTGTTTTTTGATGAGTATCTATACTCATTTTCATTGTCGTTAGATTTATTTTAAGTTTATATTCTTTCTCTATTTGTATATTTAATGAATAATTTTGAACTTTGTCTAACAAATATATTTTTATTGTGTGAAGCAATATGAATCGATATTATTTCTGGGAAAGTCAGCTAGGTTTTTTTATTTTTTATAATTTCATTAGATCTGATTGTTTCTACTCTTATGTTGTTTCTTATTTATTAGATTGTTTGTTGCGATGTTATAAGATCTGAATTTTACGGTATACAATTAAATAGTAGCTTCTGTTCTTAAAGTATTTAAAGTAACTCTAAAATTTAATCAAGACCATAATTTGGGCAAAAACCGAAAAAAGAAAAGGTGACCGGTGTGCATATGTAGGTATGGGTAAGATATTTAATTATGTGAGAATTAGTAAAAAGATCTTTTTAGTTATTATCAGTGGGTTGACCACTGACTGCCCCATCACTTAATATCATCATAACACGTTTGCTTAAACTCCACACATGAGAACAAAAGAAAGCCACTTTAGCTAGTGCGCGTCCATAATTAATTTACTGTCTAATATTGGCATGATAATATACGTAAAAGGATATACAATGTATGTTTCATTTTAAACATTAATAAATTTATCTAAACATTATTCAAAGTTTAAATGAATTGATCAAAAAGAAAATAAAAATATTTCAAGTTATCAAAACAAAAATTAATCAAAACATAAACCTTTACCTTTTTATGTAGAAGTATTAGAAAGAAAGAAAAATTACAACTTCAACAAACTTCGATTTTTGTAACCTTCTGTTCACTGATAGACAAAAGTTTCATGTGCTATTAAAAAATTTTCAATAATCTTTTTCCGTTAAAAAAAAAAAAAGTTGATGGATCAGTGCTTAAAATCTTAAAAGATAGTAAATTAAAAAAAATAGTTGTCACTGATTAGAATGTCATTTTAATATTTTTCACCATGTATTAAAGGGAGAATTACGATCATGTTTTAGGAAAGAAATTTAATTACTATAAAATTTATTGATAATTAAAGAGCATACAATGACAAGTTATAGAAAAGAGAATAATAATAAGTTCAGACTAATAACTTGTCATTGAGATTTTTTTATAATTAAATTTCTTAGAACCACATGATAATTCTCTTTTATCAAATTGTATCATATATACTTTTTAAGAGTCGAAAGGTGGTGAGATTAAATCTCGCATTGGCCAACTTCACTCGTCCAAAAGTTCTTTAGCAATGCAAACAGCTGGAGCTCTGGCGGTTAATAATAAAAAGAATTTCTTTTTATATGAGAACAATTAGCTCATTTCGTGCAAGAATTTAATTCTAGAATGGTTTCTAGAGACTTTATAAAAATAAAATTTTTAGAAATCATTTTAAGATTGTCAAATTTGAGCCCCTAATTTGGTCCTAACCCGGAATCATTTGGTGGTTTATTATGTATCGTTTTATTATTTTGCTAAATAAGATTGATTATCAACCAAAAAAATCTCCTTCGTTTGGCAAAAAAAAAGAAAGAAACAAAGAAATTAAGGTTGTTGGATCTTAAATTGAACCAAAGGACGAAGCATTTCACGAATTTCTCCAACTCGTTGCAAATGAAATTGCTTTACACAACCTCTGCTCCTAATTATAAGACTCTGTCTATAGTCTATAACTAAGGTCTTATAAATAAAACTAGAGGTAGCATGATATATGTTCATGTATTTAGAATTAGAACAAATTTCTCATTAAGAAAATTAATTGGTAAATAATTCTTAAGATGATAGATTACATAAGAAAATATAAGTTGCACATAAAAGAAAAAATTAAGTTTGTGCAAAGAAGAGATGGTTTGCAAAAAAATATTATTTGGGTTATTGGTATAAGGGACTAATTTGCAAACAAAGAAAAGTTAATTTACATAAATTATAAGACTTAACTGTGATTATTTTCTGACATACAAGTAAGAGTTTTGTATTGGTGACAATATAAATTAATTATACTTTGTAACTTATCTTTCAACAAATTTTGAAGGCCTAACTATACTACGAGTATTGTTAAATGAAAACTTGGAACTCAACTGTCATTTTCCTTAAATTATGGAGTAACTAATGAATTCGGACAGGTTTTCCATGGCACGTAATTGCCTTATTTTATTCTTCATTTGTCATGGAGAGACGTAAAATGGAGAAACGTTGAGTCTAAGAAACCTTTTTAAGCAGCCAGTTTTGGAGCCCCATGTGTGCGTGTGTATTTTATATTATAATAAATTCCATCCACGAACATGAAAGTTGGCTCGGCAAATCCTCAAATTTTTTCTTTGGACTGAAACCATCTCATTCATCATATAAATTGGTTGTATACGCGTCACAACAATATGTGCCCGATGCAAAAGTTACCGGGTCGAATATGCAACCAGTCAAGCAGCTTTCAGGTGGGGAAAAAAAACCAGTTAAAGGGCTTGTCTGTATACATTTTTTTTGAAGTGTTTATAATCATTTTCACAAAAGTTGAAACCTCACATACTTACCTCACCTCATATCATATAAATCACAATCGAAAAGTTATTTTTAAAAGCTTCAATAGTCATTCCAAACAAATCCTAAACAAAATTTAAGGTGTTTAAGCCTAATTAGTATTAATTCCAAATGATATGGGCATCAGCATCAAGTGTAAAATGAAAGTGAGATGACAGATAAAGCAATGATACAAATTATGGGGCGGCAGAAGAAAGGGACTTAGGTGGAGGGTGCTGGGATCAAATCGTGGAACACGTGCGCTGCTCCCTTTAATGTCATAGTGGACAAACATCTCATGATGCTCCCACATTGCACTTTCCCATTCATGCTCTTTCCATGGAGTATTTAAACATTTTAATTACCCTTTTTCTATACGATTCTCTTCTAAATATATCACTTTCTCCTTAAAATACATTCAAGCAACAGCGTGTTCTCCTTTTAAGGGTTTGTAAGTTTAAACTTAAACAAAGAAGTATTTTCCATCAAGTTATAATCAAAACTATTTTCTTATTAATACTAAACAAAGGGCAATACCCTAACCCAAAAAATCATGACAGGAGAGACATGAAACTACAGCTAATATGAGCGGATGTCACTGGAACCTTTTTTTAATTCGGGCGTCTTCAGCATTCTCTTTTTGGGGGGGGGGGGGAGCCATATCAATATGTGTCGATGACGTTGGGTAAACCCCCGGCTGTAAAAATTATACAATCATCTGGACTCTGAAGTTTTTCCCCCGGACAAAATATGAAGATCGTCCAAGCAACAAATTTGTATGGGTAAATGTAAAATAATATCAAAACTTCAAAGATTTCTAAGTAGCAAGAATAAATCATAAGTAGTCTTCAAGTAAAAATCAATGTTTAGAATAAAGGAATAAGAAACTTTAGCAAACTTATGGTATGAATTTGTGGTGGGGACTAGGGAGTTCAGCTGTGAATTGGCCTACAACATCGTCATTAATTATGCATATCCATAGAGATAAGTGTCACTAGATACGTGGTGAAGACAAGTCTCCATTGTAGGGATAATGTGTGAATATGGGTAATGACTTAGTCAGTCATCCAACACAATTATAGTAATCCTTTTAGCTGTTTAATCCCACAAGTGGAAGGACCGTGGTAATACATCAATCTTGATCAAATAGCACGCTTTGAGAAAATTCAGTCTGCTTATAACAATACTGAATTCAACAAAGGAATTTCACATTTACTACTGAGTCTTGCCGACAGAAGACGACTTCGGCTCTGCTGTAAAAATTTTCTATCAAGCGTGTGTAATATATTAATTTTTGGTTTTAAGAGGGCGTGGGATGGAGTGTGTACGATGAGGATGGAGCTGCAAAACTTAAAAATCAAATGTGTCAAACAAAAGTAACAATTCCATTAGTCAGAACCAAATCAACTTCAAACAAGGGGGCTTTGACAGTTTGTCAACTTGCAACAGTGAAAATACAGAAAGCTTTATTGATCAACCTTGACCGTATTAACATTTAAGTCCACCAAATTATCAGACAAAACCAACCAGCATAATCTTAAGGGTATCCTGGGATCTGAAAATGCCTCACAGGGGCCCGGAAAAGTTCCATTGTCCCTCTGCTCATTCCACTTTTCAACCTGCAACATTTTAATCCGAACAGAAAAAAAATATGTAGAAGAAATTAACATTTAATTGAATATATACACAACTGCGCACATTTGATTAAATAACAAGATCACTCAACCATTTAAATTATTTCGGAATTATGCAATGTGAGATAGCCATCAATATCAACGCAATACATTATTAAGCCCCACAAAGTAGGGAGGAACTTTGAAAAGAAGATCTGCACATGAAGCTTGAAGATAACATGCATTGATCATTCAAAACACCGAATGTTTTAAGCAATCCTGTAGTTTCGCGACTTCAGCAACGGCTATGCGTTTCACTAAACAAACGTTATGAGGGATACACGCAGAGGGGGAAAAAAATTAACTTTTTCGTTCCCAACTCATTCTTTTAGGGATGTGTTACCTTTCAAAAGTTCTAGATCATTTCTAATACTCCCTCAGATCCTATATACAAATTACTCCTCCAGTCCTAAATGTAAAAACTATTTTGTAATGTGAGTAATTCACACTAAAAAATAGATCTTACATTTAGGACTTGTCTGAAAAATTAATTCACTTTTCCCTAATTTTACCCCCAATTAATTACATGTCTTTCACATCTCTTTTTCCCACCAATCATCATTCATCTCTTTTTCCACTCATTCCCTAACACTCACCATCTCCAAACATAAGCGCATATTTTTGAAAAAAGCATGTTTTCTACACATTTATTGTCTTCAACCAATTCTTTTATTCATGTAATTCAGTAATCTGTAACTTGTTTATAGACCAGATATGAAAGGAACCAGCAAGAGAGAAACACAGAATGAAAGAACAGAAGCAGAAAGCTATAGAGAAAGATAGAGGTCATAATTCTGAATTAAGTGACTCGCAGTTTACAAGCAATGGAGAATTAAAGCAATATAATGAACGCCAGAACCAGAAAATTGATAAAACTCAAGTGATTAGAGCCTCCTAACGGTCTCCCCACAAACCACCCCAAACTCTGCCTATCCCTCACCTCAGCCCCACTTATATTCCCATTTTTCTAACAAATTTCCCATAGATTTCCCTTGGTTAACTCCCTTCCACATGTTTTTCACCCGCGTAGATTTCCCAAGGCAGCTATCCATCATCCATGTCATTATGTCCCTCCAGCCCAATATTCTGTTAACACGATTACAGAATTCATCATGTGACATGTACCTACTAGTTCAGAATGTACAGAAGTTGACTAGAAAACTGTCAGACTCAGAACTCCCAGCAAGTGAGCTAAAGGAATGTCTCCATGACTTATATCTATATCAGCACCATGACTCTAAATATACGAACTAGTATCCATCAATGTAACAAGCTGGAAAGAGTTGCATAGCCTAATCTATTGGCACTCTACATACACGTGACACGTATTGATTTTGAAACACACACACACACACACAGAGAGTCAAATTGCTAGACCAAAGAGATTAAATCCCTGATTTAGGTTCAGCTGCTAGGTACATAATCACCAATATTACATTACAGTATCTACATTCTACAATACCTAACAATTAAAATGCTGTCTGAAAAGGCGAATCACAAACAATACTTGAGACTACACAAAGGCATAAGGAGGTCATTAATTTTCTTGAAAATGCACGACTCTTTTAATTTCAAATGGTTTGAGAACTTTATGATGTTGACGTTAAGGGTTATATATAATCAAACTTTGGCCATCATAAATAGCATATGTCTTAAATGTATTGTCAATCTTCATATTTACACAAAAATCCAGTCAATTCAAGCAAAAGCAGTCAGCTAAGGACCACTTACCCATTCACTGGGGCAAAGGGAACGATAATATTTGGCAAATCTTTCACAATCACCTGAGCCTTCACCCTTTGCTGCCACACACCTGTAGTTGAACTTTAAAGTTCAAGAACAAAATCTAGAAACAAGTTCTGCTGAGCAAGATAGCAAGTGTCAGAAAAGCCTACCTATGAAACTCAACATAGCGAGTGAAACAATGTCTGGTTTGATTGGTTGTAGGAAAGCGAAAATCAGCAGGCGCTGTTTTGAGCTCAATCTGAAAAAACATAGGAGACAAATAGTATAAGGAAAAAATGAAGACGATAGGAAGTTAAAAACCAAACAGGATAAGTCAGATTTCAAATGAACGCTGGAGGATATCTAATATTAGATGTTCAGTTTGAAACACAATAAGACAAAGGTTCCCCCCCTCCCCAATATCATTGTCAACCAAATAAATGAATGAAGATACTAGAAGCACTCCTCAGCTTCTCATATATCTTCCACATGCGACAATCCAAGTAGATGTTCGCAGAAGCTAAATGAAGAATTGATTAGGAGTGTAGACAATATTCAGTCAATTTATGAAAGACCAATGATATAACAGCCTTATAGATGAAACCAATATGAAAATGTACCCCAAAAAAGATCTGGGAAAAGAGTCTTGAAAATTGCAGTAAAACTTGCCAAGGCACTTTTATCACCAAATGCTAGAAGAACTTACAAGCGTCGAGAAAGGAAAAAAAAAAAAAAAACACCCTGTAGAACCAAGGACTTTTCGAAGAAAGAAGGGGATTCCAACAATTGTGTACAAGAAGAGTTATTAATAGGAAGCAATGCTTGGGCATCATAGCAGCACAGACGACCTAGGACCTATTTGAGAACGTTCCCAGCACAACTTATCATGGGGAGAATTGGCTCGCGGTCAAAGGATCCAATAAATCAGAGACAAGCATTCATCAAATAATTCAGGAAACAAAATAAGTCTAGATTGCAACAAACATCGGAACTCATAATGCAATAGCGGAAAGAAGCGCAGTCACGAACAGCGAGATCAGAAAGGAGGGACTAGAACATGAAATTCCGACAGCAAAACGAGACTAAAATGCTAACCATCCAGATTGATAGCTTTAATTTTCCCGCCGTGACAAGATTCACAAAAATTGAAACTAACGAAAAGAATGTCATAGAAAATCCAAGCTCACCTCCGCCATGAGAGAGAACAGAGTCAGAGATCAAGAAATGAGCGAGAGATAGTCGTCGTTCGGAGACGGAATACGAATGATTCTGTGCAGGAAACTAAACAACGCTTTATGGGAACTTCAAATTTGAACAGCCCATTGAGTTTAAACGATAAGTACCATAGGAAGACCGAATGACATCTATTCATGTTTAGTTGGGCCTTTAAGCCCAGTGGGCCATGCCAATTTATATCCACCACGATTCTTCATTCACCTGCACAGACACCTTTCTTCGCATAGTGTGTGGAATGAGATAAGCAGTATCTCCATGTCTCTAATGGGAAAACTAGTTAATTTAAATTAGAGAAGTTAGATAAATTACTTAATTTAAATAAAATTGATTAAGATTTTATATGTAGGTCCAAAATCAACCCCCTAATTAACTCTTATATTTATGACTAAAAATTATATTTATATCACTCGTGAAGTTATAAATAAGGCAATTTGTGGATTTATATTGATCATAATATATACATATTAGAGGCTAGACATTTTTCAAGGCATTTTTTGGGGGGGGGGGGGACAAATAAATAACATCTAGTTTACGCGATGTGAAGGACTCACCTTTTTTTTATTGAAGTAAAAAAGAATCAAATTGAATCTAGTTTTCAAGGAAGTGATAATCAAATTGGGGAAGCAAAGATTAGATAAACGGCTTTAGAGTGGAGATTAAATGAGAGAAGAGGATTGGTTCCGAACCTCTCCTCTTCCCTCTCTATCCCCTTCCGTTCTCTGTTTTTTTTTTTTGCCCCCATAACCATTGGATTAACATATTTTAACAGTTTAGATTTTAATTTTTTATAAAAAATTTTAAAAATATTTAATACATTTGCAAACCATTAGAATTAAATTTAATATAATTTGTAATTTATTATTTAATTATTTTTATAATTTAAAACTCTAATAATAATTTTAAAAATATTTAAATATGACCGTTAAAATATTAATTCAATAGTTAATAAAAAAAAAAGAAAGAGGAAAAATATGAGGGGGGAAGAGCCGAAGAGGAGAGTTCCTGAATCAGAAAAGGATAGCATTATGACGATGAAGCTGGAGAATCGTTGGCCAAAACAAAAAAATGATGAAGCCGGAGAATGTAGGTAGCTACTGGCAAGTTAAGTGCGGTGCACAATTGACATATAATTCACCCTTGGCCTAGTCTTAGCTTGCTAGCTACGAGTCCCTCAACATAATAATTAATGGCAAGACGTTTCAGTTGTTACGTCCATTAACAAGTACAGTGAAGTCATAGGATGATCATCCCACTATTGAATCCCACCACAACAACAGAAAAACAGGAACCACACCTACGCCGCTCACAAGTTCCCACGTACGGCACCCATCTTCCTGCGTGAACCCTTCATTTCTCATCATGCCCAGCTGCAGTCTCACGAACTTGTCTCGTAGTATTCTTTCCCTTTTTTTTATACCCAAAAAAAAAAAAATTAAGTACGCTGAGTCTTCAGAGCTCACTAAGGTCAGATATACTTCTAAACTTAGAGATTGTTTATAAAGATACTCCTCCAATTCTTAATATAAAACTCATTTAACTAATTTGATTAGATTAAGAAAGTTAGGTAAGTTAGTTAATTACAAGAAAAGTGACACATTTTTCCTAAAACACCATAATCATCTTTCTTAATACATCATCTCCCTCTTTTACTTGATTATGGTTGAGGGAGTATCTATAGGGGTAATTTAGAGAAAATTAATAAATATGAGAAATGGGTCTTATATTTAGGACCAAAACTAACTCAAAAATTGGGTCTTATATTAAAGATCGAAGGAGTATTTATAAATCACTCACCGACAAAACTTTCACATAAGCAATAGAATTTGAACTTACAATCTTATAAATTATGAACTGAGAAATTGAATCAACCCTCTTGTTAATTTGGTATGTCGATGTTGCCACTACCAAACTAATAAACAAATGATCTATAAAACATACAAAAGTAAAAAGCCAGCACGCCTCTTGCAGATGAGTGTGAGTGCTATATGCAAAACCCTAGCCCAAAGCTGGCACCAACAAGAACCTCTGAAGTCAAAGCAAATACAAATACCAAACCAAAAACATGTATGTGAACAGCTTTTTCATTCTCCACTATCGTGAGTGCCTGAGTGGATATAAAATGGGTCGGTTCCTGTAGGGCACTTGTCACCAACACAGTCATATGCTTCTGCTTCTTGCAGTTTCAGCCACAAAGTTTGTGTCTATCACATTCTCCACTTTCTAATATCTCCCATAAAATAATGTACCACTCACACCTTCACCAACTATATATATAGGGTCAAAACTCTTCACCTCCCCCATCAGAAAACTCTCACTCGATCTTATTGACTTACTTTGCCATCAAAACTTCATCGATCATCTTCTTCCTTATATAGCTTGCCTTCTCCTTCATTATTTCCTCGTTACCAATGGGTGCTTCTGCATCCTGGTCTTGCTCTCTGCTCGCTCTGCTTCTTCTCGTGTCTGCTTTCGTATCAGAAAGCAGGGTTATTGAGAGGAAGGACTTGAGTCTGGACCTTGGTGGGCTGGGCCTTGGAGTTGGAGCGGGGCTGGGGTTGGGCATAGGAGGTGGAAGTGGATCCGGGGCAGGAGCTGGAGCCGGGTCTGGGTCTGGGTCTGGCTCCAGTTCAAGTTCTTCATCCAGTTCATCCTCCTCATCTTCCAGTTATGGATCAGGAGCAGGTTCTGAGGCAGGTTCGTATGCTGGGTCATACGCAGGTTCTCGAGCTGGGTCTGGGAGAGGACGAGGGCGTGGAGGTGGCGGTGGAGGTGGAGGTGGAGGTGGAGGAGGCGGCGGCGGCGGCTCCGGATATGGTCATGGTGAGGGTTCCGGCTACGGCCACGGTGAAGGTGGGGGTGACTAAATAAAATATGGTGATGTAGTAGAATGTTGTAACCGTGGGTGTGAGTTAAAAAAAAAAATAAATGGAAAATGTGTGCTACAAAAAAATAAATATGGTAGATGGTGAATTCCGTCACTTTATCATTAATATATTTCTAATGTCAAAAGAATTTTAGTATATCTATATAAATGTAATAGTATTTTATAAATTGATCGTACCAGCTTCTATATAATATTATTAGAAGAACTATCTTAAAAAAAAATACATAAATATAAGAAACAAAATATATTGGGTTCTTATATTTAAGATTAAAATAAAAATTAGAAGTAATATTACTAAGTAATGATGGTATTATTTTAAGAATGCGTTGTTTAGACTCTAGTAAAAAAAAAAAAAAAGGAATGCGTTGTGTAGACTAAAATACAAAAAAGTGTACATAATGTGGAGCCAATGCTTTATGAGGAATATGCAATGAATGATATTTCATATTTGATTCACTTTGAGATAAGAGTGCTCCGTCCAGCTATCAATTGGTCGCGAGTCTTTCAACACTTTTCTTATCAGGAAAATAAATAAAACTTAATTGAAAAAATTAATAGTAATAGGCCATTACCACTCTATCACCGTCGTAGGATATAATAAATAATATTTATAAGGAAGGATCTTTATGGCGTTTCATATTTCTTTTTTGTTTGCTCTCTTCTTTTTTCTTTTGGAGGAAAAATGAGTAAAACAACTTAATATAAGTAATGGTACATCAAAATAATGTCTGCTTTAGAGTTATCATAATAATAATAATAGTAGTAGTAGTAATAATAATAATAATAACAGCAACAATAAAAATATGTTGAGACATAAGACGTAGTAACCACTTTTCGACGTAGGAACCACTTTTCAATTTTTCTTCCCTTGCGGTAATACTTTTTATAATGTCACTGTTGCGAAAATCAAAAGACTCCATCTAAATGTTCTCTTTATCCATAATTATTAAAAAAAATGTTGTTATATCATATACTCTTCTAGTCTAAATGTAAGAACTGATTAGAAAATTGGTTTTATTTTTTAATGTAATACCTTAATCTATTTTATCTTCATTTTATATATTTTTAAACTAATTAATTTAATTTATAAATTAATACATAATGTACATGAAGTATTTAAAGAAGATGTTGTTAGATACTACTACTACAAAAAAAAACATAATAATTAACGGTTATTTTTGCTCATATTTGACAGTTAAAAACTGTCAAGTATACTTGCATTATATATTTGGATGGATAATATTTGATAGTTACTAATTGTCAAATATTTTAGATAATATTTGATGGTTCTAAAATTAAAATCGTCAAGTATTAATGACCAATTTTATGGTTATTGGCACCAATTACTTGACGGTTAATTAGAATACTTGACAGTTATTCAAAAAATCATCAAGTATTGTATAAATACTTCATGGTTTTAAATTAAGGGAAAACCATACTGGAGGTACCTGTATTTTTTGTAAATTTTTAATTTGGTACCTATGTGTTTTTTGTTCTTAACTAAATCTTTAATTTTACTCAATTAACATCATTAATCCTTATATAGAGACTAAAAATGCCAATAGAACAAAGTTATAAGAGCTAATGTTGCTAAAAAAAATAAAATTAAATGTTTAATCAAGAGGAAAAAACACATAGGTACCAAATTAAAAATTGAGAGAAAGTAGAGGTACCTATGATATGGTTTTCCCTTAAACTAATAACTGCTAAGTATTTTCAAAAAAAATTTTAATAGTGGTATTGCTTTTCTAACAGCTCCCCTGTATTATAAAATTTCATACAAAGCAGCATTATTTGATAAACAGAATCAAGCCAACATTCAAACCAATATATAACAATCAATAATTTAGTCATATGAATATAATTAACCACCAAACAGAAATTTACATTATATACATCTTAATAACAAACCAAATGTCATACAATATGTGGTCTTAAACCAAATCAAAATTTTGGACAAGTACAAAAAGCAAAAGCAAAAAACCAACTAAGATAAAAATTGGTCAATTGCTAAAAACCACAACAACATAATATTGAAACCAAATAAGTCTTATGCTTTCCTATCTATTTTATGCTTACTGATGATACAAAGCCATTGTCAACTCTTCAATGATTTTCTCTATTTAAATGGATGAATACATCATGCAATATGTGTCACACAAAGTACTGTATGCAAAAGTAAATTGAAGTTAGGTATAAATGTATAGCTACGATAAGTATAATTCTAAAATATATAAATTAAACTTTAATAAATGCATATTACCTTCGTAGGGATTATATCTAAATTGTGTATAATTATTTTCTTTATGAATTTTATCACGCAATACCCATAATCAGAGCTTTTGTTTGGCTGACATGGGCACTATAAAGAATGGGAAAGGAAAATATATGACTCAATCATATAAATAAACCATATTTAGTTGAATAGTAAATAATGATGATGAATACCTTCACTTTCTTTCACGGGAAGGCTGAGTGGAATTAGTCATTTTTGACCGGGACTAGGGTAAGGTTTGATCTGTGCAATATAGCCACAAAGCTCTAAGAAGACAATGAAATTGAATATTAATGATTGTCAAAAATTATATAGAAGCAAGAAATTAAATAAAATATAAATAATAGATATAAATATTACTTATTAAACAATGAAACCATAAACAGTCGATTAGTCGGATCTCCATGAAGAGAATCGAGATATTAAATCCTTAGGTTTATGGGATTGACCACAATCAGCATCCAGTGTCACCTAAGTATAAGAAAAACAATTAGAACAATTACAAAATATTTAAAAATAAAAGAATTTGAGGAAGTTCAGTATATTATCCTTGATAATAAGGCGCCAAAAAAAAAAGTATCTCTAGTTTTTACTGCCCTTGAAATGAAGATATCTGTCAAATCTTTGGATTAGTCTTTCTTCATATCAAGGCCATGGCTAGCAAAAGTGTGGGAGCTGATAATCTTGAACTTGTCATCAAGGCTACTGGGGATTGTAAAACTCTTGTAAAGATACATAAATAAACAAACAAACAGATTAATAGAATAAGTGTTCAAGTAGTTGAGTATTTAATCAAAGTTTTAAAAGATACCTGATATAAAAGTTATTGGCATTCATGCTAGCCAATCTATGAGTCAGATTTTCCTTCAATACATCATTTGTAACATAGTCAGACGAGGGTCTACCATAGATCTCTAGCTCAAAATCTAGGGGAATAATTAAGGAACCGGGGTATTCTAATCCCGTCCTAATGGCATATTCTTGAAGATATATTTGAAATCTTGATGATACAACTTGAACAAGCTTAGAGGGCTGCTTTTGTGTTGATGATAATGAGTGACAAACACATAATTAACAGTTAAAACAAGTTTATTTTAAATTAACTGAAAGTTTCAACATATACATACCTTTGTAGGTTGTCCTAACATAAGAAGATGGCTAGGCCAAATAACAAAGCTACCTATGACTTGAGCCACTGTCTTTGCATCTAAGATGAGCATAGGAAGGGCATAGTTAGGATCAATGGCAAAGCTCACTGATTGCTTCAGAGAAAAAACAAACCACAAAGCACGACGATAATGGAGAAGAACCATAGAATGTGACGATGATGGAGGAGGAACTACAAAAACAACATGGAAAGATCGAAAATGACATGGGGATGGTGGATTAGAGTGTTGGGAGGTTTGGGCAGAGCATGCAAAAAAGAACGGTGCCTAAAATTTTAAACCGAGTTTGAGCGAAATGAAACAGATTAGAGATTTTAAAATGCAATACTTAATAGTTTTTTAATATAACCGTCAAATATGTTAAACAAATACTTGATGGTTATATTGAAAAACCATCAATTATTACTAAACTTGATAGTTTTCAAAGGAACCATCAAATATTTATTTTACTTACTTGACGGGTCCTTTTTGAACCGTCAAGTATTCTCGACAAAATAATCGTGCAAATTCCATCTCATCTTTTTTGACAGTTTTTATTATAACCATCAAGTATTTACAATTCTGTAGTGTTGTACTTTCGGTCCTTAATATAAGACCTCGTTTGACTTTAATTTTGGTCCTAAATATAAGATCCAATCCACTTTATCTCTCATATTTATGCTTTTTTTTTAAGATTATCCTTCTAAAAATGATTGTTCCGGCCTATATACTTGATTAGCAATGATATTTTAGGAAAAACATTTATTTATTATAAATAATTCATTTAACTTATTTTCTTAATCTGTTCAAATTAGTTAATCAGCTCTTATATTTAGGACTTGAGGTAGTATATTAAAATTAAATAATTAATTTAACTTTTTTAATGTATTCAATTTAATTAAATACTACTTTTCCCTTATTAGAAGATCTTTTTAACTAATTGTATGATTTAAGAAAATAGTTAAAATTAGTTAAAAGCAATTAATATGTAGAAATGCAGTTTTTTTTTCAAATGGATAAATGCGAGAGATTAACAGTGAGATAAATAAAGAAAGATAATATATTAAATACATTAAATTAGGGGATAAAATAGGTAATATTGTATTAAATGCTCAGACAAACTCAAAGAGAATCTTATAAAAAGAGATAAACTCATTCAAAAAATTGGATCTTATAATAAAAGAGGTAGAGAATAATTCTTATAAGTACTACTCCCTCCGGTCCTATGTGTAAGTTTCAAATAATCAAATCATGTTTAACGAACTAGTAGTTAAAATTAATTAAAAATAATAAATGAGTAAAAAATAAATTATTTTTTAAGATTTGTCCTTATTTATTAGGAAAGCATATGAGAAGCAATAAATGAAAAAAAATGATAAAAAAGAATATATGAGAATACTATTAATATGAGAGAGTATTAAATATAGTCAACTAAAAAAATAAAAAAATAATAAACATTTAGATAAATTTAAAAATAAAGTTTATATTTTAAATCGGTCATGTGTAAAAATAAAGTTTATATACAAAAACGGAAGGAGTGTTAAAGATGGAGAAGGAGGTGATTATAAGGTTAATTATGAATAAAAGATGGTGGGGGTTTCTTGGAAGCAACGAGGAGATGTTTTCAAAAAGAAGTCGGCAGGGAGAAGAAATATAAACACACATGGGAAGCTTATGGGGTGTTTGGCAATATGAAAACTATAGTTTCAGAAGCACTTTTTTATAAAACGAGACAAACTTTTCTACATATTTACTTCGTAAACCATAA